GAGACTTAAGAATGAAAAAATACACAATTTTGCATTATAAAATTATATCGCAATTGGTATTTAGCAATCTTATAGGACTATGAAGAAGCCACTCTGCATCTTCCTTATAACTATAGTAGTTGCATTGATTAAGTCATGCATATTCTTTCGTTGGCAATAATCCCCGCTTCACTGAATAAATCTATGGATGAGCTCAAACGCTGATCCTGACTTTTCTCTCAGTGCACTTCCAGTCTCAAAGGCTGCTGCATATTGCTGCCTTGCAGCGGCCGCCGCGTATCTTGTATCTGGCATTCAACTCGTTTGCAAACTATTAATTTTGTATAACATCCTGGCATCTGCCGCATCGAGTGGCTGAAGCCTTCGGGTTGAACGGCTCGATCGGCGAGAAGGGTAAGAAACCAAACTCCAGATATTTGCAATTTAGATTTGAAAATATACTTTTTTCGCTGGCTATATATTTTCCTGGAGTTTCCCACTTTTGCGCCTGGCTTCTGTTTTAATTCTTCTTCTGGGCCAGGTCCCATTTCTGACACGATACTTGGCGATTATACGAATTATAAGCAATTTTCTGACATTATTTTCTTTCAAGCCGAAAAGCACGCCAACTTAAACTTATTGTTTAAGAGCAATTATCCACCAACTAAAGGCACCTCTAAAGTATATGGCTGGCAAAGTGTATAAACATAATGCCGGCATATTGTATAAATAAATAAATAAATATCCCACTAATTAGGGAGCGGCCTGTCTGAATAAAAAATCGACGGGCTGAAATGTCAACAAATTGTCAATATAAATAAAAGAGGGGCTGGGGCGAGAGGCAGGTCTAATAGGCATTTGACATTTCGTAAGTGCCGTCTGCCAGTCATCAGCAGGTAGTCCTATATCTTTGCATCTGTATCCGTATCTGTATCTGCTGACTGCATCTCTTTTGATGATCTGCTTGGAGCCCTGCCAGCTTTGGTCTTGTCAATTAGAGAATGAATTTCGAATGCCAAGCGACATCAGAGAACTGCATGCGGTATTAACTAAACATGCTGATACACTACAGATTTTTCTAATTGTAAAAAACAGATATTACCCTGCAGGTTTTCTGTGCAAATAATTAACATTGATCGACTTTTTTCCTGCTTCTCAAGCGACTCTCGATGGCAGGAGCTTCTTTCTTCTGGCGAAAAGTGTTTCGCAGAATTCAGCAGACAGTCTCGTTCTCTCCGCGACGAAGATGGCGTTTGAGCTGGCGTTTTTTTTTCTTTACATTTTAAAATGGTTGCCACAGTAACAACTTGACGTGATTATATGCAATCAGCCCGGCTCCCGGCTCCCGGCCCCCTATCCTCGTCTTCCGCCTGCCTGCCTTCCCGCCTCATGAGCAACATGCACTCGAAATTTGCATAATTGTTAACATGATGTTGCTGTTGCCTTTGCCGCTGCTGCTGTTATTTTTACTGGACTTTAATCAGTGCCTGTTTCCGATGCTTCCCTCCAGATTACCCTTTATTATTGGCATTTGCGCTGCTTGGCACCTGCAACAACGTTTTTTAATAGCGATTCTTAGTTCGACTGCAATTATGAAAAAAGGAACTAGCACATGCCAACACACCCAGCAGAAAGAAACTCCTAATAAAGACATTTGGTGTCGAAAATTGAGTTGTGCTCTGGGACGATAACGTGGCCAGCTTAATGGTCCGGCAGGCTGTTGACTCTTGGACTCCTACAAAATGGGTGTGGTGCCAGAAACTCGGCTTATATCTGTACCTGCACCTGCAGTTATATATATTTATTTTGTATAGTTGTAAAAACCTCTGTGTATCGAAAGAGGATTCGAGTAAAGTAATTATATTCAAGCACATTTGTTGCATGTTTGACTAAAAGAAGCCATCATATATAATTATCTGGGTATGTATTTATTGGGTACAGCTAAAACAATAACCGCTTTAGTTTTATAGTCATACATAATTGTGTGTTCTCAATGTATCTTTTACTTAGAACCCGATTTATAGGCTGCAACAGCGCCTATTGTTTCCAGTAGAGATATAATTATATTTTAAGATATGGCTGCACATAGTTGTATAGATGGCTGCCTTTCACATTGCCCTCAACCGAATATGATTAAGAAAGTAATTAAATCTCGACGATGCATGAAAACTCAGGGAAAATGGCAAAGCCAGACGGAGATGCCCAGATGCACGAGATACATTATTTGCCGAGTGCGTCTTTTTCGTGGGCGCTGCAAAAGTATCTGCATATGCATCTGCATCTGCATATGTATCTGTATCTGTATCTGTAGCTGTAGCTGTAGCTGTTTGCATCCATTTCATTCATGTCTCTTCCAGGCGAAGTTCATGTTCTTCATTACGGCACCGCGTTACCCGGCCTCCCCGCTGCAATCAATTTCTTGAGCGCTTCCACTTGCTGCAATTTGCATAACAGATACTCGCCGTTCTTGCTGTTGTTGCCCGGCTGCCATGAGTAACAGATACATAAATAATAACAATGTGCCCCATTGATTGGAACCGAGCAGGGAATGGAACGAGTTTCCCCGCCCGGGCACACACGCGCGCAAATCGAAATGGAAAATCAGCCAAAGTTGCTGCTAATCAATATGTATCTGTGAGCTCGCTGCTGACTTGTTGGCAGTCTGACTATTTATAAGGCTCCCCCCTGGAACTGCATTTCAGCGTGTTTTTAATTGGCTGACATGTTGTGATTTCGGGTTGTCAAGTACTACTCGCTGTCGCCAGTATGGAAATGTGCAATATGCCAGCCAGTATTTAAACAATTAAGCCTTTCAACGGTTAAATCAGCTATGCAGTAAAAACAGAGTGCACCAAAGTCACCTCTCACATAATATTTTACAGGGTATTCTTATTTCATTTAGAAGCTTCTAACCATATGAAGGAGTCATTTCCGACCCTATATCTCATAAATATTATTGATCAGCATTAAAAGCCGAGTCGATCTGGGTATGTCTGGTCAAAAAATAAATTTTCGAGATTTTTTAAAAATTTCAAAATTTTATAAGGGGTTACATCATTTAAATTTTAAAAAATTTAGGAAAATTTTAGTTTTATTTAATATTAAATTTGGTATGCACATTTGTTAACCTAATAAAAACTAACAAAGGAAAGCTTTCCGAATTAAAATTGATGCATTTTTGGTCTAGTTATGATATTGTAATCTTTGATTTTTCCAAAAAATTGTCATATAATAAACATCGATAGATTTTTCATACGATCCTATAATTCAATATAAACTTTGGCTTTCAAAAGCTAGTTGTATTTATTGTTCATAGATCAATTCCATTGGGTTTTATAATAGGAAAGTTTAGAGAGGTCAAAGAATTTTCGGGAAATTCCCCTAAAATGTTTAACGAAAATAATCCAAATATAATATTTTCGAGTGGTTTGATGTATTCTGGCGTTTAATGATATATGTATACTCAAACCATTTGTGTATTATAATAAGGTACTTAGATTGACCTTCATTGCTTTGTTTAAAATACATTTTCATATTTGCTTTCATAAAGCAGATTTTTTGTAATGCCTCGGTTATACTTCACTGAGCTAATGAGCTCTGCGTTTTTGATTGATGAGACACCGAGCGAAAACTTGGCAAAAAATAGTTCCCAGAACGCGAATCTAATGATTTATATGTGGACAGAAATATTTAATTATTTTTTTTTTTGCACTCAAATAATAAACGAGCTGCAAGCGAGATTGCAGCCAGCTAGATCGAAGCAAATGTCAAACTATTTGGAGCCCAATTAATCTCGACAACTACTGCCAATAAATATGAGGAATCATCCCAATAATTCGATTATGCTGGGATCCCCAGAACGACTTCGTGAGTTGCCCTGTCAATGGGTCAGGCCAAGGTGGAGGGAAGATATATGCGAGGGGTGGCAGAAAGAAAAATCTGTGTGCGCGCCAGAGACATGATGAAAAATCGACCAACAATTTTTCGTTCACAATTTTCCAGCCCAACAGATTTTCGGCCGAAAATGCGTTCGGTTAAATTTAAATATAAACCGAGCGAGGTGCTGAGATTTATATCAAGCCGCAAGTATCCGCATCTCTCAGATGTATCTGTATCTGCATCTGATTCTGTATACGTGTCTTCGGCGGTATTATGAGTTATTGTGGGAGTCAGCCGGCCTTAGCAGCGGGATCGGATCGCTTCACGTTTGTTTACAATTTTCACGCGCTACGATTTTCGCGGTCGAGTTTTTCACGCAGCGCTTTCCCCGCCGTCCGGAAAATCGGAGAGCGCAAGTGCTAGGGAAATTTTGTTATTGTTTATGTATTTTGACAAGATTCCCCGCGCGCACAGTTTGCCAGACAATTTGGAGCTAAGCACACGGCAACAGCCAACAGCCAAGAGGCTACCCAGTATTGTTGGCCAGTTGCAACACCAAGTGTCTCGCAGCAGCGGCAATGAGTGCTGGATGAGGCATCGAAGGAGATATCGGATGGGGCACCGATTGAGGTGAGCTTATCCGCCGAGGATGTTGATTTATGATGCTGATTTGCCAGCTAATTCTTCATAAGTGGGGGTGAGTCAGTTAAGCGATTCAGTGAAGACAAACAGCCTCATTTACAAATTAATAACCCAACTTGGTAATGCATATTTTAATGTTAATTAATTTTCAATCGATGATAGGTGTCTTGTAATATAATATCACATAAATGAAGGCAATAGTTCCGAGTGAATTAGATATTATCATTCATCAGCTAATATTTGTCTAATAACATGCAACTATTTCAGTCCGACTTTGATTAATTTATTTATATTTATTACTTTTATAGATCTAATTATTATCGTTACTGACAACGTTTTAAACAACTGACTCTGCGGAAAAAGTATTTCAAGACTGAATTGTGGTCTTAGTACCCCCTTAAATAATTATTTGATAGTTGATAGTTGATGGTCATGGTCTGGTATCCCTCTACAACTACTCTAGCTAACTTAAATATTAGTTATTAATTATTAGTACTCACTCTGTCCGAGATGCACTCGCTTCATCCAGGGATATATCTGTGGCGGATTCTTCTTGCCATTGCCGCTGTTCTGGCTGCTGCCCGCCTCATTGCCGCTGTCGCTCTCCGAGTCCGAGTCACCGCCGCCGGGACTGTGCATCGGTACGTTGACGTTCCCGGAACCCCCTGCTCCGCCGGGACCGCTGTGGTTGTTGTTCAAACTGGCGGCTGCAGCGGCGGCCGCCAAACTGCCGCCCAGGACGCCCTTGTTCAGTGACCGGGCCACGCTCTCCACCACCGAGCTGGGCGACAGCTTTGGCGATATGTCCCTTGTGGACAAATCCTGCGGACTGGCCAGCGACTGGCTGTTGTTGTTGTTGTTGGCGCTGCTGTTGTTGTTGTTGCTGGGCACACCACCTGCCCCACCACTGCCTCCACCGCCCGGCGTCGACGGATCGTTGGCGTACTTGCAACTTATGTTGCTCTGCTGCTGCTGCTGCTGCTGCTGTTGCGGGTGTTGCTGCTGTTGCTGGGCGAGCTGCTGCTGCTGCTGGGCAACCGCCGCTGCTGCTGCATGGGCATGTTGCTGCTGCTGCTGCTGCTGCTGCTGCTGCAGGAGCAGGCGCTGGGGCTGCAGCTGTGTGTAGTCCACCATATCGGGGTTGCCCTGTCCGCCATAGGCCGCCTGGTTGGCGTAGTGTGCTTGCGGCGTATTTGGGTACAGGTTGGGCGTATAGGCCGCCGCCGCTGGGAAGTAGTCATTGGCTCCCGGAGTCGCCGCCCCCGCACTGCCCTGTCCACCGTTGGCACCGCCGCTGGGCACAACACCTCCGCTCACACCGCCTCCTCCGCCGCCGCCACCAACGTTGCCGGCGCCCGCACTGGAGTTGCCCGCTCCCGGGTGACTCTGTTGGGGATTCATCTGCTGCGGGTAGCAGGAGGCCAGTGAGTTGACGAACTGGTACGAGGACATGGCAAAGCAGTCGGGATCCATTCTGAAGCCAGTTGTCCTAGTCGTGGATTGGAGTCTGCAAAAGAGACAATGGGATAGGGATTAGATATGGAGTGGATTAATTGAGGAGTTCTTGAGGAGACAATATTTTGTAGTCTATTTTATTCTTAACTCTGCCTCCCCTATGTTGACTATTTTGACTATCTTACACTAAGTTTATAATATATTTATAATTTTTTAATGCTTCATTTATGCTTTATGAATACATGATTTCGATAAAATGAAGCGAGTTCTTCCAGTACAATGCCATAAGAAGAAACCCAACCATGTTCTTGCTTTTTATTCGCTTTTTGTTTTGAGATCTCACTGCTCGATTGCAACATTGTATCGGAGAAGCTCCTGGGAGGGGAATTCGAGTATTTGTATTTAACTAAAGAATCCGCGAGATTCAACATGGGAGATGTGGTCAGCAAAGAAAAGGCTGAAGTCCCCGAGGGAAGCAAATAAATTGCCAAATGCAGATAAGCAGAAGCAAATATTCATATGTATTACAAGATGATAACCAATACGACGAGGGCTTTGTATTTGTACAACACTTTATCATAATAAAATATGGTAAGAAAAACAAAATTGTGGGATATATTGGCATAAGCTAGTATCGAGATAAATAAGTCCAAACCTGGCATTAAAAATGCCTTAAGAATCTATTTAACAAAGTTATTTCCTTGAATATCCAATATATTTTCAATATCCAATATAGATTCTTTGTCTGCTTGTGATATCCGGCTTAGTTCAAAAATACCTGCAGATAAAGGAAAATTTCTGTGAGGAGACCTGAACTTCAGGCAAGTGGAACCCAAGTCACTGTCTCTTGATTGGTTTGTACCCCGAAGTGTTCCTTTTGGACGCTGATAATTTCACTCGGCTTTTACTTGGTTATTATTATTATTATTACTTTTAGAACGGTAGAGTGGAGTTTTTTTTCGTTTTTTGTATTATTTTCCGCCAGTGGAGAGAGTCTGGCCTGGCTAAGCATGCAATTTAAGCAGGCCGGGCCATCGAAGTGGATACTGGTATCCAGGTATAGGAACCTTTGGCCAGGAATGCCGAGGGACCGCCCACTCTTCTGGACACACTTGGCGGAAACTTCTTGCGGCTGCACTTACCGGCCATGCCGTGCCATGTCCCCTCCTTCGAGCATGGAGCTCTGAGCTCTGAGCTCCCATCTCCCAGTGGGATGGTGCACCATCGCAGATATTGCAGTCTTGGTCTTGGTCTTGGTCTCGGTCTTGGGCATGTTTGTTCAATGGTGGAAAAACCCGTATTCTGAGCGGCGCAGATAGCAAACAAAAGCAATGACCCTCCGCTTCGAAAGGAGCTGAAGGAAGGGAAAGGAGCCTCGAATCGCCCGAGAGCCGAAAAAGTGCAAAAAGGCAATGAGGCAAAAGAGGCCAAGCGAGGCCGCTGCACATGAACATGGCCGAAAAAACTAAAGAATAATCGAGCAGGCCACGAAGCTTTGGTAAGTCGAGACTTAAATACCCTGGCAGATATTCAGAAATGCTCCTCTCAAGAATCGTTTAATGTGCTTGAAAATACTCTAAAGTTCCCACAAGCGTAAGGTACTTATCTGAACTTAAAACAGAGGGAATAGAGTTTATTTTAATGAAAGAGTTGCTTGCAAGTTAACTCCACTTCGAAATTAATAAATATATAATATCAATGAAGATATATAATATGATATTCGAGAAGGGGAAGAAATGGCACTTTGAAATTGGGAATTGGGAACAAGCTATCAAATATAAAACCATTATCTGTAAGATATAGTTCAATTCAACTACAAAGACTGTCATATATTCTTGTATTTAGCATGACAATTTACTAATCTAAACATTGGTATAATATATATTTTCCCTATTTTAGTACCCTGCAAAAGGGTATCAAAATAAACAGTGAACATAAAAGCACAGAGAAAACATGGGCCAAAAACAATGCAGCCAGGTCTATACACCTCACCCCCCGTTTCTGCCCTTTTTTGTGTGGCTTGAAACCAATAATTTTGATTCAGTGGGCAATTTAACCCTTTAGCATGTTGGCCAAATGAAAGGAGCTCTCAACTTGGGCTTAAATTAAAACGCCGTACGCCATTCGAAACTGCTGGCCGAGAACCCAAGGAGCGAATGCTCAACTCTGGACAGAGATTTATTTGATGAGCTGTGTTCTTGGGGAAAATACAGCACAACAAAAAAATATAAAAATTAAAGGAAATATTGTAAGCTTGCCTTCCAGCTTTCTTCTTCTCACTCCGATCGCCACCGATTATAGGCTTTAAGACCGTGGTAACGGTGCTTTGGATAAACCACCTCGATCTGGCAATATGAGAATTATAGTTGTAGACAAGCGCCCGTGTTTAAGCCGAACAAGGCCAAAATCAGCGAAATTATAGGATCAGCTTCTCTGGCTGACTTTGAACCTTTGACTGGCAGATATTTGAACAACCAAAGGTCGAATCGATTTGGTGGCAAATCGAATAGATGCGATGGAAATTGATTGGGTGAAAAACAAAAGCTGGGAGAAGTTATCAAAGTTAAGTTAACTTAAGTACTGGAAATTGATTTACGAAACACAAAAAAGCAAGGATTATGCAATAATTCAACAAAAAATCATAGCTTTTCGGCTTTTGTGCACTCAACAAATGATTTTCTTTATATTTTCAACATACAGTTGCAGTTGAGAATAACAAACTTTCCTGATCACTTAAGGGCAAATTAAAAATTCCTAATAACTCAAAGATGGGGAGCAGCCAAATCCATAAATTAAACGAATTTTCAAAATTGTTTTCCAAATAGTTTGAGACGGCGCTGAGCCGACAAGCGGTTCAATTGGTGTTAATTAAATCCATGAATAATAAAAACGCCAGGCGAATTTTGCGGGCATCGGGAGACGGAGTCGGGGGAAATCGGGAAAATATATAGAGGGGGAGGGACAGACGCTGTCTTAGATTGGCGATCGTCGGCCGAACTCATAAGAAAGCCATAAATTATGGCAATTCTTTCGGGCTCAGCGACATTTTGGACTCGAGATCGAGGGAGCGACGCAGCCGAGTTTTCCCTTTGTTCCCCCTCTATTATATGTATATAAACAATTTCAATGTGCCTTCGAATGAGAGTGAAATTGTCTTTCTTAAACCGCAGAACGAATTTCCCTTTGCCGTCTGTGTCCTTTCCCGTCTCACACGGCCACAGGTAGGATCTTGGCTCTGTTTTGGGCCACATATTGGACACTGAAAAGGAGACAGAGAAGGGCAGGGGTCGGGGCGAGAGTAAATAAACACCAATTGAGTTGCACATGCGTCTGTCGATGCCATAAATCAATTTGGGGGAAATATTCCGGGCGACAGCTGAAAAGGGTTTTCCTTTTGGACGCTGACGTTACGTTCTTAGAGGGTCGAGAAGTTTGACTCTTTTGCGGGTACTTTGCCCGGTGGCAGGGGCTGAGCATCTGCGCTATTAAGATGATTAACTTTTGCATAATCGATAATTAACCTTTTTCGGGAAATACTTTTAGATTTGCATATAAGCAGAGAAGAGGGTTTATATTACTCTTTGGCATGTTTGCCTTTATTACAAATAGCATTCTGTCTTCAGTTGATTTATATATACTTATGTTACAAATACTTGGATTTTTAAAATGTAAAAATATATTTAAAGGCCTTATCTTATATTCCCCAATTGGATTATTTTTTACAATTAAACAAGAAGCAGAAGTATAAATACACTTGCAGTTTGCACTTGATTTATAGGATTGAATCGGAAATCTGTCATAACTAAACTTAAAATATTCGCAATACTTTGAATAAATCATTATCGGTATTTTTATATGCGAGTTTTGTTGACAAATCAAAATTTAAAAAACTCATAACTCAGCCAAAAGTGCATTAAATTCCATTCGGAAAGCAGTCCTGTGTTATTTTTTATTGGGATAATAAACCTGCATACTAAGTTTAACATTTTAAAAAGTTCAATTTTTGGCCAATTTTTGACAATTTTAATGATGTAACCCCTTATGAAAATTTGAAATTTTCGAAAAGTTTGAAAAAAATAGATTTTGGTCGGACATAGCTAGAGATCGATTCAGTTTTTAATGCTGATCAAGAATATGTATGGTTTACAGGGTCGGAAATGATTCCTTCACTAAGTAACAACCTTTTGACTTTACAAGAAAACAAATTGTTTCCTTCCTTCCTTATAAAAATCTAAATAACAAATATCCCATAGATAATTTTTTCCTGCATAATAAACCCCTGTTTATGGAAAACTTTTAGTTCTTAAGATCTTTAAAACTGAATAAATTTAAGCAGCTTTACTGATTAACTTTAAAATATGATGCCTTAGCTAGCGCAACCCGTTTTCTGCTAAAAGACTGTATGTGGCACCTCGTAAGCCCCTCCATTGAGGAATCTGTCCTCCATTTCGGAGCACTCCATCACCGTCATCATCTACGTCATCGTCTGCTCTGCTCCACCATCTTAATTATGAGACGGACAGAAACACCCAAAGGCAGTTATTTCGCCTACGAATGTCGCCTGGGCCGTTTGTCGTCACCATTACGGATTTTTGTAGCCAAACGAGCCCGGCCATAAATCATAATTTTTAATATTTGTTGTCAACAGGGGCGTAGCTTGTGTGCATGTAAACACGCCGCTCTAGAACCTCCGGAACCTTCAGAATGAGCTGCGATACGCACGAGTTTGGTTCTCATTCTCTGAATAACATCATAACACAGGAGAAAAAAGATAAATAAAAGGTATTTGCGCACGCGCAGTCACACTCATTGGCGGAGCACGTCGTCCCGCTCACTCGGCCTTCCGGTGGCATTGGCGGGACAGAGAGGCACACACAGACTGTGTGCGGACCCATTAAAAAGTCATAAAAATTTGTAAGCACCTCATAAAAATAGTCATAAATATTATTCCTCTTCATCTTTTTGTGTCTTTTTTTCTGCCCCCACTCCCGATCTGTGCAACCCTCGTCACAGTTGCCGTTTGCGGTTTGTTTGTTTGTTTGTCATGGCTCTCATAATTTTTATGAGTTCTCCAATTGTTTTCCCAACTCGAAGCCCAATCATCGATCCCGATCCTCACTGCAAGCGGCCATTAGCGGCTGAGCATTTGTGGTCTGTCATCTCATTTTGGCCCTCATAATTTACGATCTGTTGCGCAATGTTCAAAGTCGGAATTATTGTCACAGAGGTCCTGTTGGTGTCCAAGGACATCTCAATTGTGTAATATGTTATGGTTTTTGCTACTGTCCGAGGATTATCTTCTTGTAACTTAAGGATATGATGGTGGTTCTTGAAGGTAGGGTGAGAATTATATTGAAATTTCTTCAAGAAAATAATTGTATAATAACTTAGAAGTACTAGATCCAATTATCTCTTTCAAATGAAAAGCTGGAAAGTTTGTTTACTTAATAACATAAATACTTATAATATATTTCAAATTTACTTTATTTATCCTTTGTTTCATTTCAAATTATAATTTCTAATAAATATTTATTTAACCTTGCAGACATTGGTAGCTTAACTAGTCTGCCTTTAAAATTCAGCTTTCGTTGACTTGATTTTTCCTCACTCTAGTATTTATTGTGTACATAATTCTTTTCTGGACAAAACTGTCTGCCATTTTGGCCAATAGATCAACGACTTTAGCACAAATTTTCAGCTTGCGTGTTTGCGATTTTGATTTATAAGTACCAGCAAGTAGAGTTGAAACATCAAGGGGGTTTGGAAGGGAAAGCCAGGGTTAGGACATGATGAATGTCTCCGTCGGGCGCAGGCATAATTTACTATTTCAGGCTGCAGAAGACACTCGAACCTCGGACTTCAGACCTCCTCCCGCCAATTAGCTGCGAAACTGGGAAACTGGGAACTAAGAACTGAGAGCTGGGAAATCGGAATGGCACTGGGTCCGCAAGTGTCTCTCTGTTGTGCCCACATTATGCAACCGGGGCAGCAGTCAGCTCTTTGATCTTGGCCCACCCTCGGCGAATAGGCAAATGAAAGTGACCTACATCAAGTGGAATTTCTTCCACTTACCGCACATATGGAAGGCGATGCCGGGATGCGGAATATATAGGGACCAGGAGCAGCGCCTTGGCGAACTTCCCGCTCCAGACGTTGCGCACCAGTGCGTCTGGCTGCCGAGTTTTTTTTTGGTGGCTTCTTCTCTACGTTTTACATAATTTCAGGTTCGCCCCATGGCGTCTTGGCCAGCATGGGTCCGCTCCCCGGACAGGCCAAGCCTACTATATGCGCGGTTTCTTCATCCCTACGAGGCGGAGTACATAGGGCTATGTGCCTGGATTAGCCTTCTCCGAGTCTATGTATGTATATGCGGCGCTTGTTAGGCATTTTTCATTTGCTGTGACATTTCGCCTTTGTGCCTCTTAATTATTTCAAAAGCGGCTGCATTTCGTTTTAATGAAGTGAAAATTCCTTGCGTTGATACCGCACACGCAACCCAATGAAAAATTACTAAAACACACAACGAAAAGGCAGAAACAAAGGCCAAATATAGGGAAAATACAAAGTCGTTTTTGGGGTTTGGTTTCGGACAATATATATAAAACCTCCCATTATTGATTTATTAAGATGATATTTCTTGGTTTGTCTAAGATAGGAGTTTTCCACTATATACTAAAAGGAGTTGAGTAAATGGTAATATGTATATAAATTTAAATGTATATTGAGGTGTATATTTTGAAGGGAAAAAAGGTTTCTTTAGTTTTCAAATGTTTAAAAACTTATCTTATGCTTATTTTTGGAAAAAAGTTTCCCAGCAAACATAAAACAAAATACCCCGACACCAATTAAATGAATAATAATGTCAAGTATTAAAGAAAGTATACCTATTTTTAACGTTGCTTTGTTTAAAATTGACAAATGAAAACAGATAATTAAAATAAATTTTTTGTTTTATCTGTTTTCAGTTAAAATATTTCAAATTGATGATAATTATTCTGATGATTCTATTTTACTTTTCCAACACAAATAAAAAATCACATTAAAATAAAAAACAAAAATATGAAATCAAAACAAATATCTCCGAATGCGAAGCATATTTTTCAACAATCTAAACTCATTTTCCTGCCTCGAAACTCGTTTTACTCACAATATCTGTTAGCCGGCGGCGTTTGGCATTCACCTCCGAACGAGTGGGTTCGGTTTGAATTTGCTTTGAATATTCACTGCACAATCACCGATTTCACTTGTCCGAGACTAGGGGTCTCTCATTAGAGTGCGGAAATCTCGATGACCTGGGGACAGTTGCAATGGCAAAATCCGGATATCTGCGGAGTTAATCCGCTGGCATCCTGCAGCGGCAAATTGGTTTGACTCTTAACGTTTACCTGCACTCGAGTGTTTATTCGGATGCTTTTAGACGGTAATTGGCCGCAATTTGGACGGCTTTTGGATATCACACACGCACAGGCACAATTTGTCACAGACCAAGATGCAGATGCAGATGCGGATGCGATCGCGATAAGTATCTGCGGGATGGCTGAGGAGTATCTTCGCGGATTTCACGCCGAATTTATGACTGTCCATCAACGGCGGCATCGATGCAGGCACATTTGCAGGCACTGGCACTTTGCTGGCCATCCATCTTACGCTGTTATCGAACAGTATTCGGAGTATCTGAGTGTCTTTGTATCTGTATCTTTGCGTTCGCGCTTTGGATTGCTTTTTGTTTCTTTTTAGTTTCAGTTTTAGTTGGTTGATTTTACTTATTGCTGTATATATTCCGATGTATCCGCGGATACGTGCTCGAAGCGCCAATGTCTCACTTTGACTGCTCGGGCATAATTCAAATATCTGAGCATCAATAAAAAACACACACAACACACAGCACATACATACACGCTGCCTCACTTACTCACTCACACTCCCCACGCGGCGTCCAATTGTATCTGCGAGTACGAGCAAGTAGGGCTATATATCTTTCGGATACCAAGTGCATCGCGTAAAAAGAGCAAGGCGAGTAATTCGAAGTGCGAGCGAGGGAGACAGCAGCATTCCGCTCTCCGTCGCCATCGCCAGCGCCATCTCGCTCGCTCGGCTACCTTTGTGGACGCGGAGAACGTTTTAGTATCAACCGCCAAACCAGAAATTCGTAGCCGCAAATTGTATCTCACGGATACAGTGTGTGTGTGAGTTCGAAAGAGCGCCAGTTCGAAAAGCGGCACTCTCCGAGTTTCGCACCAGTTCCTATTGCTCTCGCTGGGCAGATCTTCCTCTGCGAGTTCGAAGATACATTTTCGAAGTTCGATTTAAGGCAGAATTCCTATTGCTCACACCGACACTGTCCGTGTGAGATCGATTCGAACTTCGAAGGGAAACCATAAACATTCGAACTTCAAACTTTTGGCCACAAACAGAAAGCTGGATTTCTTTGGAAAGGCTGGGATTTTTGGTTTTTTTTTGGGCGCTTTCGAAAAGGGAGAGATTATCAGGGCAACCTCTGGAGGTGTCGAATATGACAGCGTTTTTTATCATGATTAAAAATCTGCTTAATTTTATGCCATACATAAGTTTTTGAGAAGTACAAATTAAATTAATATTTTATATGTCTGTCAAAAACTATGATTTTTATATAATTTTTAAGATGAATATACAGATTTCGAATTAATACTTAGGCAAAAAAATATACGAAAAAAAATTATGTAGATAAGACAGAAGACGAACCAAAAATGAATATGAACTACAAATATTTAATATTATTATGATATTTACATTACCAACTTATTATATAGCCTAGAATCTTTTAAACTATTAATTTAAACTTATAAAAGATTGATTTACTGTTTTAATTTATACAAAATATACTTCAAACTTGGGTGTTATTGTTTAATAGGAGTATAAAAAACTTATATTCCTTTACTGAGATGCCCTAATTAATATTTTCCTAAATTAACATATATAGAGTCTCTTTTTTAGTATCTTAATAGAGATTTTTTTCTTAAGTAACCCAGATTAGTATCTTACCAATAAATTGATGCACGTTGTAAGAAATCCAATTAGCAGGAGCTTTTAAATAAGTTTATTTTTGTTTGTTTCAATCAGCACTTCACTGTTTAATATTATGTATTTTCATATGAATTGTATTTGCTTTGAGCAGCGCACTTGAGATATCTTAGTTATTCGAGACTTTGAGCACTTTTAGATATTTTAAAATATATATATAATTTTTAGAGGGGACTTTGCATTCCTCTCCTGTGAAGAGGAGCTATTCGTTGGAGTATCCGCTATAAGGAGACCATTGCAAATGCAATTGCAGCTTGCCGACGCCAAAAATCTTTCGTCTTCGAGCACAAACTTCGCGGACGTATCTTTGTATCTTGTATCTGAGAGTGTTCAGTTTGTTACTTTTGGCAGGAGACCGAGCGCGCAGCTTGGCGACTGAAGTGCGCCACGTTCGAATCACGTTTGAGCCATGGACAGCAACAAAGCGACCCTTCTGTGCGCTCTGCACTGGTGTGTGTTTCGAACACTGTAAATCATCCGGCGGCCCGAGCAGCAAGTGCGAGTGAGAGCCCAGCCCGTGCGCATATTCGAAACGAATGCCATCCCTGTTCCACACCCAGTTAGCTCCGCCCAGCGCAGTGATTTATGCCAAGAGGGTGCCGCGGCCACGGGCCTATGGCGCTGCAGCTCCAGAGCTCCAGAGCGCTCCACCGGAAAATGGGGAAATCCTTGGCCGGGAGCAGCGAAAAGCGAGACAAAACAGGTAGTTTGCAGGCACCGGCAGCTCCACGCTCCTCGGTCCTCGCTCCACGCTCCAGATTAGGCCGAAATCATCCCAGATTAGGAGACGCCACCCCCGGACGCACGTCCCCCAAACTTTATTTGTATTCAATCGGGGCGCTCTTCCGCTAAATCACCGGCACATTATTATTTCGCATTATTATTTTATAAGCGTTTCGCCAGCGCGTTCATTTCCATTTTTATTGGCCGCCTCCGAAAATGCAAAATCTCCTGCTAAAGTTATTCCTTCTTCTTTAAAACGAGCTCGTTGGCAGTTGTCTCCGAGTTTAAATTTATTGGTCTCAGTCTCCATCTCGGTCCCCATCTCAGTCTCGGTTTTCAGACTCAAATTTTGGATTCAGATCGGGTTCATTTGGAGCCAAGCCAAGTTCAAGTTCTTATGATTCATTCGGTTTTCGGGTCTTAACGATTTTGATTTGTTTGGCTAAATGCCTTAATTAAAAGTCGATTTCATATTTGCTACCAACATTCCAGATTCACATTCAGAGCTGAACAAATGCGGTTTGATTTCGATTTGAATTTGAATTCGATTTATTAGTTTGTTTGACTTTTGCTTAAAGGTTGATTAGCTATTTTTACCAGTTGTTTGTTTCTGAAAAGTGGCTTTTAAAGACACACCCAATGTTGTTTTGGTTATTTTCAGAAATAAATACATACGTTAGTGGGTTGGTCTATCAGACAATCAATAAAAATTATGCTTCATTTGCATACTGTTTTATTTATAAACATTCAAAAGTGAAAAGGTTTTGAGCTACCGAAGTCTCAGATTTCATTCTTTATTCAGAAAATACACTCAAAATCAAGTTTTTAATTAACCAAAAATAGAAGAAACACAATATAAGATACAAAAATTTCCAACCAACTGAAAACAATTATGCGAAATTATAATACACAGATCTTTTGCCAAGAAGTGATGTTTATATTTGCAGAAATATTTATAATGCTTTCGGATACAAAAGAAAATGCGTTTCAAAATTGCTAAATTAAACAATGAACTGCAAATCAAAGATAATACTTATATTTCTAGGAAAATTGTTTCCTTTGTTTGATATTAATAATACAATATTTGATTTAAGGAAGTCAGGTTTCTTCAATGGGTTTGCCTTTGCTGAGGACTCATTAGATTTTTCCGCATTCTTGTTACACACATGTAACGCTCTCCACTTCCAATTTTCCATAGTGCCCGCACATCATCCTGAAAATGAAATGAAAATATGTTAAAAAGAGGAAGAGATGGAAAATAAATGAAAAACTAAAAAAAGAAATCATAAGAGAGACGCCTGCGTGTACTTCTGTAATTGGAGTTGATGTTGGCGATGCCAGCGGGCAGTCAGAGCCAGACTCCCAGAAACCCATCCTCTCGGGGTCCAGAATCCATATCCCACTCCAAATCCATTCCACTCCACTCCACTCCATTCCAGATCCATAGAGGTTCCCCTCTCGGCAGCATCCAACATGTTGCAGGCGATTTTTCATCATCGCTCGCATGTTGCTCCCTGGGATGTTGCAGTTGTTGCCGCGGACACACACTCGCTCAGTTTTTAATATGAAACAATCAGCAGCATTTGTAGTTTGTTTTTAGTTAACAAAAACATAGCTCTTAACGTGGAATAGGAATTTTTAAATTAAATGTGGGCATAGGACTGCACAGACAGAAAATTGTATTGTATGGTTTAAAATGAAGATATATTATATATCGTTTTTAATTTCAACTTACTAAGCATTCAATTCATTCTAAATATGGTTGTATTTTCGTATTAAAGTTGTATTATTTTCTTGTAGTAATATATTCTGTCTTGGATTTCCACTAATGGTTTCTAATTAAAACCCATATGGTAACAATCTTTCTCCGTGCACCAACGAAACTGCAACTGCAACAGTTTCCAATTAAACGATCCGAGAAAAATGGATACCCCTCCCCGGACCAAGCTCACGACAATTCGTTAATACCTTGCCATTTGAGTTCTTCACGCATCCGTAATGGAAATGGGGGGTTTTTCAGAATAGGTCGGAGGATGGGTAGTCCGTGTCTACGAGGAGTTGATAAATACCCTCCATTTGGGGCAAGCACAAGTCGGTGTTAGTCGGGATATAAGCGGTATCTGGGGCAGAGGGAGCACTCTTCCTGCAGGCGGCGATGCATTGAGAGATGCCCTTACATTAAAGGCCGATTTAAATTAATTTCCATTCCCTGCTTTTTGGCAGCTACCAGTTTTCAGTCTTCAGTCTCAAGTCTTCAGACTTCTCGGGCTTCAGCCTTCAGTCTCGTGTTCCAGTCCTCGGTGTCAGTCCATTCACATTTGATTATGACAAACGTGGCTCAGCTGTCAGACATGAGCTACTTAGTTGAACAAGATGGCTGCCGAAGAGGTTGGCGACAGGGAGGAGTCCGGGATCCTGAGACTGGGTGAAGTGGTTCCTCAAGAGCTGGAGGTCATTAGGAGAAGACAACAGCTGAGCTTAAGCGATGAGCTCGGGGCAGGAGACTCGCTGCGGCTCGAATGGAGATGGCACATGAAACGAGACTTTAAGTAGGATACGGAAAAAAGAGGAAGATTAGCATATTTGCAAGCAGCAGGAGTATATTTTATTTGGATGTGAAAGTGATACAAGTTTATTGATTAAACATAAAATTTATTTATTGAAATAAAGTAAACAAAGATTGAATGCTAGATGTAATAAGCCAATTTTCATATATAAATATAGCTAAATATTTCCAAATTCTCTTACAAATTCGATTCCAAATTTTTAAAATGAAAAACATTGAATACTCTGTTTATTTTCAACATTTTCTTCCGGAAATAAACAAATATAAATCAACCACAATATTGCAACAAAAAGCCGTGCAAATAATGTACCATCCAGCGCAGGGCAAACGCCATTTTGATTGAATTTTTATACGCATACACACACACTCGTATTCCCCGAAAATATATGTACGCAAGGACCATAAGGACACATTTGCCAGCCAGCCAGATAACGAAGCTTTTTTCTGCAAGCGAAGAGCTTTAAATGTATATTGCTCTCGCTTTGGCCGCAGCTGCTGTAGGAAGAGATGTTTTTTTTTTTTTTGGGAGGCGGAGGTCCTGCGAGGATGCGGGGAATGGGAACTGGGGACTGTTGCGCATGTCCTTAGCCACAAGCTGCGTACTTATGCAATGATTAATTCGCCAGGACAGCGGCGAAAGTTGCGACGGATCTGTGAGATACTTTAAAGTGCCTTTAAAGTGAGTGCGAAATTCGTTAGGAATATTGTAAAATGGCTGCCGAAGGATATCAGGCAGCTGCTATTTCCTGGCAGCCCCTAGGATTCGTTCCCAGCTAGAATCCTGACAGCAATCAATCAGATTGCAACAAAAGATACGCAGCAAAAAAGAAAAATAAAAGGGAAGAAAACAAAAAATTCGATAAATGCTCGACTGGCTGCTCTTGAAATCCTGCTCCAAGGTCGAGCCCTTTGCTCGATGTCCTTCCAACAGGTCCTTGGGCATTGTTCGACATGTTCCAGTTGTAGTTTTTGGCAAATGCTTGCCAATTTCTTACCCGAAACTCCTTTCGCCCGGTTTCGATACCGAGGCTCATTTGTGTTCATTATCGTCCTGCGGCGCGCCGCCATCGAAATCCTTCCATGCCAATTTCCTGCCCTTCGTAATTTCTTCGCCCACATTATGCGTGTGAACAATGCGGGCATTCACTTGTGTGCAGCACAAGGATACATGTGTCTCGATTGTGTCCCTTTGCCCTACATCTCGCCTCCTGCCGTCGCGGCTAATCAGCGCCGCTCTAATTAGCTTAGCCCACCTCATCAAGGCCGCATTAAAGGCGCAGAAGGATTGCAACAGCGGGCAGGATTCGCAAATGCGACACTTTCGTCACGGTTTCAAGTTAATCCTGCAAAAGGTGGAACTGTAAATGACCAAGACGAGAAACAGGTTAGGAAGTAAAGGTGTATCGGTTGTCATTAAATAATTTTGAAGTTGTTTTATTTTCCTAAGAATTAAGCATTAATATCTTATGTTTTCTTTTCGAAATAAATATGTTATGTGAGTTGCAAATACATCAAAGTTCCAAAAGATCTCAGATAAGAAGTCATCTCCCATCCATATTTTTAATATCCTTAAAGGGTATTATAATTTTAGTCCGTAACTTGTAACTTTAAAAGGAGTCATTTCCGACCCTATAAATCATATATATTCTTGATCAGCATTTTAAACTGAATCGATTTAGACATGCCCTGTCAAAAAATAAAATTTAAAATTTTTTGCAAAATTTGAAAATTTTATA